TGAGCTGCCGGGCACTATAGGAAATATGGTGTGAGCAGCTGAGCAGCTTCTTGTAAGCGGTACCGGCAGCCATGCCAGAGGCGCGCGCAAAGAAATACGCACCCAAAAAGTGCGAGCACGGACGCGTGCGGTATCACTGCCGCGACTGTGGTGGTAAAGGTGCTTGTGAGCACAGCGCAAACCAACGCACGTGCCGCGCGTGCGACGGAGCCGCGTTCTGCGAGCACGGGCATCGCCGCCAAGTTTGCGTACAATGCGGCGGGCGAAGCTTATGCTGCCACGACAAACCCAAAACCGTGTGTCGGGAGTGCGGCGGTAACAGTTTCTGTCAGCACAATCGACTGCGGTTTAACTGCCGCCTGTGCGCTCGCAGCGGCTTTTGCGAGCATGGACGACGGCGTGGACTGTGCCCTCACTGCGGAGGCGCGCTGCTTTGCAAGCACGACAAGCCTAAACGCCAGTGTGCTGAGTGCAATGACTGTCGGTGTGAAGTGGAAGACTGCGCAATGAATGGGCACCGCTTTGCTAGCGTGTGCAACCTGCTGAACCACATGCGCACCTACCACGGTGACAACCCCAAGGCGCTGACGAAGCGCAAGGAGCTGGAAGTGCACCAGCTGCTGAGCCAAGCCGGGTTGCAGTTCGAGTACCAGCGCCACCTGCCCTTCCGCGGCTGCGGGCTGGAGTCGGAGACGCAGTGCGCCTTCGCAGACTTCGTGCTGTACGCCGGCTGGGGAGCCGTCATCCTGGAGGTGGATGAAAACCAGCACCGCGAGCGCGACCCCAGCTGTGACGTGCGCCGCGATTTTGACATGGCAGCAAGTGTGGCATTGGGCAGCGCCCACAAGCTTGCGATCGCGCGCTACAATCCCGACCCTTTCAAGGTGGCGGGCAGGACAATGCGCACGCCCAAGAAGGAGCGCCGCGTCCGCCTCCTGCAGCTGTTGCACAGCTTGCTGCAGGAAGAGCCGGAGCGACAGTTCCAGCGCCTTTTCCTGTACTACGACAGGGCGGCCGAGGACAGCGAGCTGCCCGCCGTGGCGGAGGACTGGGACGTCGTCGCTCGGACAGTTTCGCGGGCGGTGGTGTAAAAAGCGTCATAATGAGTCTTTTCGAATCCAGTATTACAGGAAATCTGCTTAACGACGGCAGCACAACCGAGATCAGCGGAATCACAGCTGGGCAGCTTGCGGCGGTTTTGACTGCTTATACCCCTCTGACCGCGACGGCAACCAACACGACCTCCATTTCGGCCAATGCGACGGGCGTGGCCAACAATGCGACCGCAATTGCCGCGCTGCAGACGCAGGTCGACAACCCGCCCACCCCGCCTGACCTCCCCCCCTGCGCCTTGGCCTCCGACTTGGCCGCAAGGCCAACCAATCGGCGCTGGACGCGCTGCAGCTCCAGGTGGACGCCAAGAGCACGCCGGCCAGCTCCAGGCCTTCAGCAACACGGCGGCCATGAATTCGGCCATCACCAGCGCCAACAACGCAACCCTGGCCAGCGTGGCGTCAAACTACACCCTTAGAACAGTAACCGACCAGCTGGCTTTGGATCTCGCCGCCAAGCAGTCTGGCCTGGATGTTGACACCAAGATCGCCAATGCGCTGCTGGACCGGCCCAGCACCGCTGACCTGACGGCGGCGGTCAACTTCAAGACCACGCTGGCAGACGTCGATCAAAGGTCGCTTTGGACGCGGCCCTGGCCTTGCGAGACGGCAGGCTCGACGCGGCCGAGGCGTCCATCGCAACCTTGCAAGCGGCGGGCTTCCAAACGGCGGCCCAAGGGGCCAGCGCCATCGCGACGGCACTGCTCCCTTACACCGACACCACCGGTCTCAACTCCCTACTGGCGGTGCGGGATGGTAGGCTTGACGGCGCAGAAGCATCTATATCGTCCTTGCAAGCAGCAGGCTTCCAGACCTCTGCCCAAGTGGCAAGCGCCATTGCGCTCCTGCCTTACGTCCAACAAACGGGGCTGGACGCCGCGCTGGCCCTCAGGGACGGCCTTGCAGTCTGCGGGCCCCTTTGCCACGTCCTCCAACCTGACTGCTGCCGAAACCAGCCTGCAGAGCGCCATAGACGCCATCCTCGCGCAGCTGGCGGCCTTGACCACCGGCGGCGGCAGCAACCTGATCAACGCCCAGGCCTGGTCTGGCGAGATCACGGACCTCCTGCTGGGCACCAACACTCTCCGCAACCTGCACTTCAACGCGCCGCCTGCAGAACGACAACTTCACCGCTGTGGGGCGTCTGCAAACGGCTGCAGGCCAGAGTGGAGGCGTTGGAAAACAAAGGCAGGAAGGCTAAGTCTCGGGCCGCGCAACCGCCCTCGCATTGATGACGGAGGCGATCAGCGAAAGCTGCCGACGCCGCAACCCAGTCCAGGTTGCCCCAGATCCTGGTGAGCTTGCGGTAAGGGTAGCCGTAGGTGCAGTAGCTGACGTCCTGCCAGGGCAGGCCCGCCATGAAGGGGCGGAGCTTCAGGAGCCCGGTGGCAGGATTCTCCAAGGCCCAGAAGCGAGGGCGGAGGTCCTGGATGATCTGCAGAGTTCGCTGCACCAGGCGGTCGCCCTCCTCGAGGCGTCTGGGCCTGCCAGGTCCAATACCAACAAGGGCAACAAGAGGAAGCTTGCGAGTCCTGGGCACAATGGCCGCAGCAAAGCCAGCAAGAAGCACGAAACCCAACTGGCCTAAAAGGGCCAGGATTCCCGCGCCTCTGCGAAAGCCCCTTGAAAGCATGTGGACAGTCGTGCCGGACAAGGCCAAGAAGGCCCTGGAAGAGGCGGGGTGTCAACCCCCGGAGCCCGCCACGGAGGAAAAAGACCTGGTCGAGCTGTTGCGAACGTTCGAGGACAAGTTGCCTTCGGAGGTACCTGCAGCCCTGCCATCAAAGCCGACACTCGGCCCAATAGAGGAGGGCAAGGAAGTTGCGGACAAGTATGCGGGGGCGGTTCGAGACCTGCGCATACTGGGCAGGGAAAAGCTTGACCTGCAGTCCCGCATCGATGCCAGCAAGGCCAACCTCCTGCTTCGACTCAAGAAGATGCAACAGCTTCAGGACGATATTCGAAAGGCCCAAGACAGAGTCAATCAAGAGACTCTGGAGTACCAACAAAAGGTTCTGGACCAAACTGAAGATCCAGACCCCGTTTGACCTCGTGTTAAAAGCGCTGGGCATGACGGGGGGGCTGACGGACTCGCAGCTCACTGATGAGCAGAAACGCAGGCTAGAAGAGATTAAGGAGGAAGAGGCCAAACGCAGAAGGGTCCTAGTTGAGGCCCCACCAGGCCTGGGCGCGCAATCCAGTGACATGGAAGTCCAGCCACCGGCCTGGGAGACCTGAGAGCCAAACCGGGCCAGCCTGAGGGCACGGCGCAGGCGGGAACCCCCGGACCATGCGCAGCAGGTCTCCCAAAAAGTAGGAGTTTCAGGGGGCACCCCAATTTTGGGCTCCTATAGGATCTCTTTGTGGGATGCTTTATATGGAGCAGGGGAGTGCCCTGAACCTGCTAACACTCCGTCTTGTTTAGTCTGCGTGGCACAGCTTACGGAAAGGCCAGGTCTACACCTGGCCTTGTGTAAAAACTGTTCAGGCCCAGGACCGTCGCGCCACTGGGCGACCCACCTCGCCTTAGGGATTGAGGTACCAAGGGAGGTACAGTCCCCCACAGCCAGAGCAATTTTCCAACAGCCTTTTGAAGCTCAATGCGGCGCAAAGGCACCGCCTTTGTATGCCAGCCTTTCCGGTTTCAATAAAACCCAAACTTTAAACAGGGCTCCGTCGCCCACACCTGTAATTTTCCGACAGCCAAATGAAGCTCAATGCGCCGCAGAGGTCGTGCCGGAGGCGCAACAGAGCCCATTATAGCTAGTTCAGGAGGTCATAGAGACCCTGTGAAGCTCAATGCGCCGCAGAGGGTAAGACGTTTTCCGCTATGTCTGCAGAGCAGTTCGGAGCGGGGGTTTCAGGCAGTCTTTCTCCTTCGGAGACACTTCAGGGCTGGGCGGGGGAGTCCGCAAGCACAGCAGACCTCGCCTACAGGGCAGAGCAAGACAAAGTCTTCGGGTGGTTTGGGTCCAGTGAGGGCCGGCTCTGAAGACGTAATAGCCACCTGGAGCAAAGTTGAGATGCACCCAGCATCATGGCCGGCCATGGCTGGCCTTTGCGCCCGGAAGATCCTCTGCCCTGAGAGAAGGCCTGCCATGGGGGACTCCAGTCCTGAGACTTGGTTCCGGATACTGAGGGCAGCTGAGGATGTGGCATTAATGACAAAGAAGACCTCAGAGCCTCGCCGCTTCAAAATTGTGAGTGCCAATGTCAGCTCGTGGCGACCGGAACACAGACAATGGCTGGTTGATACGAACCCCGATGTGGCCTTAGTGCAGGAAACGCGCTGGCACGAAGAAGCTCTCGCCAAAGAGACCATTGCAATGGCCAAGCTGGGGTACGAAATGTACTCCCAGCCGAGCCCGTCCACGTGAAGGGCACCTCCCTCCACAGATTTCAGGACCACACCACGGGATGTGGCTTTGAGGCTGTGATGGTCCGTGTTGCGGGCACCAACGTGGCCTGCGTATCGTTGTACTTGCAGTCGGGCCACTTCATAGATGGCGAGGTCAATGCCAATATTCTTGCAGAGCTGAGGAGCTTTCTTTCCTCGCTACGATGCCCGTGGTTCGTTGCTGGGGACTGGAATTCTCACCTCCCTGATGTTCTTGGCACCAGGTTGAATGAGGTTCTGAAAGGACAATTCGTAGGGATCGGACAAGGCACGGCGGGAGGTGTAAATGAGCTTGACTTCGCGCTCATACACCCGTCCATGCACCGGTGCGTCCGTGTGCAATCTGATTGGATGGTTCCCTTCAAACTTCACTGTGCACTGCACTTCACCTGGCAAGCCGAGTCAGTGAAAGATCTCGTCCCAGGACTGAGGGTCTTCAGCGATGATTTTGATCCTGTCACTCAAGAAGAAAGACAGGGCCAGATTCAGCCAGTTAGGCCTAACAAAGCCCTCATCCTTGAGTTTCAGGCTGAAGACCCCATCACAGTCCAGTGTGCGGCCTTCTCGGCCACAGCTGAGGCAGCAGGCACCCTGGGCAGCAGCCGAGGCAGGGGCTCGCACTGCCAGGTGCAGAGGACGGCACTTATGGGAAACCCAGTACAGGTTTGCAGGTGGTATGGCCGGGAACATGCCTTCTGGACCCAGGTGGGAGTCCTGGCTATGCGCACCGCATACACCACCGCGTCCGGTTGTGGTTCAGTCCCCTGAGCAGTGCCCCGATGAGGCTTGGCGGCAAAGGTGCCAAGCCTGGCTGCAAACTCCGCACCGTGCGGAAGACAAGGAAGCCCTGCTTCAACAAGCAGCCCAAGCTGCCAAAGAGGCTAAAAGGAAGCAGTCAACCAGGGAAAAGGAAGACTTCCTGGCTTGGATTGTGGGTGCGGAGAAAGCTCATTTGGGGCCAGACCACTCTGCGCCCTTATCGGGATAAGAGTCTAATCTGCCGGGCATATCTTCGGATGGAGTTCTGGTCCCAAAGAATGAAGTCAAAGAGAGGCCGATCTCCCTCACATCGGTACTCTGGCGAATCTGGACAAAACTGAGAAGGTCGAGCCTCGCCGCCTGGCTGGAGGAATACAGCCGAACGTCGGGCTTTGACTCGGCTGTGCCGGGCCACACCCGTCTGGACCCAGCCCTGGCTCGCCTGATCAGGGCTGAGGACCACAAGTTCAGGGGCCACACCTTCATTACCTTGTTCTGTGACCTAGAGGGTTTCTATGATGTTGTCAGCCATGAGCGCTTGGCCCAACAGGGGATGCACCTGGGCTTCCCTAGCCTCATTTTGGAGCTGGCCATCCAACTCTATGAAGGGCCCAGGTGCTTGTATGGGGAGGGTGTAGCTTCCCCTTCGATATGGCCCAAGAAAGGCATGTTGCAAGGATCCTTGTGCGCCAACTCTGGCGAAGTTGACAACCTATAAGCCGCTAAAGACAATCGTTGCCAAGCCGGGGGTATCTCATGCCGACCTTTGGCTGGACGATATCAGCATCGACATTGCACATCAGGATGCTGAGCTAGCGGCCTCGATAGGTGTTGATGTGTACAGGACCCTCAGGCGGCTGCTGCAGGATGAGGGCCTGGAACTCAACATGGGCAAGACCAAGTTTGTGGTCAACAAGGCCAAGGCCAGTAAGGCACTCCGAGCCATGGCAGGCCCAAACATGCCGGAGGTGGCAGAACTTGTTAAGGACTTAGGGCTCGACTCTGCCGGAGCCAAACGCCGCAGGGTCACCACTGCCCTCAAGAGGTTTCGGATTTGCCTGTCCAGGCATTCCAAGCTCAGGAGCCTTAAGCTGAGCAGACGCCTTAGAGCCAGGGTTTTCAATGCTTCCCCTCTCGCCGCGGGCTTGTACGGTCATCAAGGCCAGGGGGTCTCGCCCAAAGGTAGTTAGAGCGGCGTTGGCCCGCCATGCTGGGAGAAGCTAGGCTCCAGTTATTCTGGATTTGATGTCCCGCCAGGTCCAGGATCCCTTGCTCAAAGTAATACTCGAGCAGGCGGATGCCCTCTTCAGGGCTTTTGTTCATGTCTCGCCCCAGGGCTCGAGGATTCTGCAAAGAACCTGGCGTGTGGCCTGGCAACGCCAGTCTCGAGCGATCCATGGGTGGAAGACAGTAGCAGGCCCGGTGGCGGCTATGTGCCAGTACTGTTTGGATCTGGGAATTGATGCAGCGGATCCTCTCTTGTGGAAACACAAAGACAGGCAGCTGCGGATTGATCTTGGCAACCCCACATGCTCGCACCGGATCCGGGCTTTCGTCCGTACGGCGGTGGAGGAGCTTAGAGCAGGAAGGATAGGCGATGTTGCCACGGCAGATGGAGCAGGGGAAGGAGTGGATTGGACCATCCCTCGCCGACTCCTGCGCTCTCCACGTACCAAACAGCGGCGGCATGCCTACAGAGCGGTGTGGCAGGGTCAGGTCCTACACAGTGGGAATGGAGGGGCTGCTTTCTGCAAGTGTGGGGCACCAAGCACCCTTCAGCATGTTATGTATGACTGCCCCCGGTCCAAGAAATATAAACTTAGCCTTGCCGCATTGGCCTTCCGCAAAAGGCTTTCAAGCCAATGCTTTTGGCTAAGGGGCATGGTCCCGGCTAGCTGGACGAGACTCGCCTACAAGGCTGAGAAATGCCAAATCGAGAAAACAGGCATCTTTCTTAGCGGCGAGTCTCCAGCCTGGTGGTGGGAACCGACGCAAGCGGTGGCCCACAAACTGGGATGGGCGGTGGTAGTAGCAAAAAGACGAGACCAGGAGGTGGAGATCCTGGGAACCATCTCAGGCGTCCTCCTACCGCCCTCCACTGTTCCCCATGGAGAACATGCTGCAATCATTGCGGCCATAAGACAGACTTCAGGGGCCCTTGACCTCACGACTGATTGCAAGGGTGCTCTCAAAACCCTAAATGCAAGACACCCCCACAAGACCATTATGCCGGAATGGGGTGAAGTCTGGCATCAGCGCGATCGGGTCCGGGCAAAGTGCGTCAGGGCACATAAAGAAGCTGTCGACTTTGAGAAAGAATTCCCGCAGCAGGAGTGGCGAAGACAGCTCAACTTGGCAGCTGATGCACTTGCGGGACGAAGGGCCAAGGAGGCCCTCAACCTGCACGCAGCCAGGAAAGTGCAGGAGGTGGACAGAGTCGCCACGGAAGTTAATGATTATCTCGCCCTGAGGGCTGAGGAAGCAGACCTTCTATACCAATCAGCGAGATAGACTGAAACAGATGGTCCTTGACTCCAGCATGGGACACTCGTGGCAATACAGCCGGGGGGAAAATGCCACCAACTTGCAGCTTAAGTGTGCGACTTGTGACTTTTGGATTCAACAAACCTACTCTCAGCAGGTTTTTCTTAGGGTCGATTCGCACCCCTGTAAGGGATGCCCTAATCAAGGTCCACAGTTTTGGCCTGCGTTACATGCGACCCATAAGTGGGTTAGCGCCGGCAAGACTTGGGAGTGTTCAGGGTGTGGGGTCAGCTTTCGCCCGGCTTCGGCCAGGGTGCCCGCTAAGGCTACTAGAGCATGTACCAAGGGTCGGGTTGGGGTCAACTGGCTCAACTTTGCAAAGGCCTCGTCGGTTAGGACAGAGGCCCCATCAGAACCGGAGCAGGCCCCACCCCTCAACGGTCAGGCCCAGCAGCTCCCTGTTTAGTCTTTTCTCAGGAGCCTGTCAGAGCTTTCCCAAGCTTAGGCCTACAGGCCCCTCGTCAGCTTTAACTGAGGCCCCATCAGGCCCCGAGCAATCGAAGGCTCCACGGATACCAGTAATTTCCTTAGAGGCCGGACCTGGGCAAGCCAAAGCTAAGGGGCTCCCTGTGAACTCGTCGTTTGTCAACAGGTTCCGAGCCAAGCAGTCAAGCCAAGCAGAATCCCCTTGTCAAGGCAAAACCCAAGGCCAAAGCCAAAACCAAGGAAGGAAAGACCCAACCAGGCCCCAAGCAAGGCCCTAAGCACGCCCAAGCAAGAGGGCCGTCTCGTTGAAGATCAACGACGCCGCGAAGAGGCGGGGTTGACGTGGAAATCAGCGAGCACTCTGGAAAGACAGAGAAAAAGGGCCCGAGACCGCCAAACGCCACGACAAAGGCAAGGCCAAGCGCCCGGCCAAGGGCAAAGGTAAAGACGCCAAGGGCCCCGCAAAGGGCAAGGACCCAAAACGCCGGCCTGGAGGCGCAGGGCAAGGGAGCACACAATGCTCCTGGACCTGTGCGTGTACCGCCTCCTCCGCCACCTTCCCGGACGGTTCGGCTGACGGACATTGGGCCGCAAAACTTCCCGGCTCCTCGCAAGGCCCAGCCGAGACCTCGCCCCAGACCTTGAGGCGGGCAGCAAATGTCAAGGTTGAGGATACCAGTTCCTCAGACTCAAGCAGCGAGGTCATAACAGCGCCCAAGCTGGCCTTGGCCAAGGCTCCCCGCCTCAACATACCCCCAGCTCCTCTCACTCCAGGTGCCAAGGCCAGAAGGAGGTCAGCCTCCCTGTAAGGAGTGATGTGGGGACAGGAGGATCCCCATAACCCCTCTGCAACAGAAGTTTTGCGCCAGGCCCTCGCCTGGGCTGAGGTAACCTCCTCCATAGGTGAGGCCTGGCAGCCGAGGATAACCTTTTTGCTAGTCGCGCTATCCGCAGTTTGACAATAGGCCCGGCCCCTTCTATAAGAGCCATCCTACCCACCTCGCCATAGGGCAGCCAGGTGAAGGTGGGTACAGGACAATGTGCGTGCAATTGAGGTAAGACCTCCAAAAGCTGGCCTTTTCTACCTCACCTCGCCCACTGGCTGAGGAGGATAAAATCAGACAGGCCCCGGGAGCTAGGGTACAGTGAGGCTGGGCAGAGCCAGGGGCACGTGTGCTTGCGCACGATCACCTAGACCTGCCTGTCAGACCTCATGCCCATTCAGGGCATAAGCCTCACCTCGCCTTAAGGCTGAGTTTAGGATGACACTCCTCATCAGCGGCCAGGTGAGGCTTTAGAGATAGGGGCAGCCATAAACCCTATCGCTCCCCAGCTCTGGGCTGAGGCAAGTGTTACTGGGGTGGGCAGAGCACACTGGTGGCTTGCTGGCAAGCCATAGGTGGGCTCTGCTTACTCCAGTTGTGCGTAGGTGAGTAGGTTGAGGTGATCCACCCAAACGGTGAGAGCCTCTGTTGGGTAGTGCCTCGTCCGCGGACTGAGTGTCAGCTAGGCACTACCTCGCCCAAAGAGGCTTGAGGGTAACTGTGGCACGGCCACTTTCGACCTCCTGCGGGAGAAGATCAGCAAATGCTGATTAATTAATGCATGCTGACTAAGACTGGCCATGGGCCGCGTTTTCTGTGCGCTCGGGAAGAATTCTACACCTTGTTGCCTGCATCTTGACGGTTGATGTGGAGTTTGACGGCGGCCTCAGGTTTTGAGTTGGTTGTTTGTTGCCTTAAGTTGTTTTTGCAGTCAGCAGTCAGTTTGCCAGTCAGCAGCGAGAGCAGAAAGTGTTTTAACAGTGCTGAGCCGTTTTCCAAAGTTTTGTTGTTGCATGAGTCGCATGGTTGCATTCGTCACGTGAAGTGATGCAGAATTGTTGTGTGGCCATGTGATTTGGACATGTTTTGATCATGTCTGAAGTTTTGTGGAGCCAGAGAAGTTTTTCAGTTTTGTTCCGGCCTCAAGGATGAGAATCTTAAAGTGAGGAAAGCTCCTGAAGTTGGAGTTGTGGGAATAGC